AAAAGAGAGAGAGAGAAAGGGGGTCTGGTGAGGATGTTTGCCCCAGTGCCCGTGCTGGCTCTCGACATTCCTGTATACAAGTAGTATTGAAAAAACACATCAAGATTCTAAAATCTGATATAACCTAAACAAAAACCTACCTAAAGAAACATAAAAATTAAACCTAGGTGATCTTGGGGCATTTAAAGAGCTATTGGTAGATCCAGAAGTGATTTGTGGACTACTGGAAGAATGATCAGAAAGCCTGGGATTACTTGCTGTCCGATTCTCTCCTGTGCCATGAGATCCTCTGGATTCACCTGGAAGAAAATGTACCCAATTTAACATATAAAAACAAATTAAAAATTTTTCTATTAATGACATTTTCAAATATTCATGGTCATTTTCTTTAGCCTAATTTTTTAAATCCGCTGTAGGAATTTTACAACAGAGAATGAGAATAGGGAATTATTTCAAGTTGCATATTTATATTTTTAGAAAAACAAATTTCATAAAATGAGCTTAAAAAACAATTTTTATTACTTTAATTAAATTTAATGCTATTTCTTTAAACATGTATCTGGCATATTTTGGATAATTAAGTGCTTTCTTCTATAATTCAGTAGTAAGTAATTGGCCCATGGAGCTTGAAAACAAACCTGACCCATAAAAAGACCTGCCTGTCCACTACCTTAAAAAACATTGAAATGGATGAAATTCTAAGTTAGAGGCTTTCCCTTTTATGTAATGCTGAGTAAATGCAGTTTCTATACTGCTATAATCTCCTGAGATGTAGTTGTCTTGAGTTCTGTGGTTTCATTGGCAATTAGTTTTCTGAGACTTGTACGTCTGTAAGTAACTAAATTAGTTGATGATGATACTTAAATGAATTGTAAAGGATAAAATGGCTTTCAAATAAAGAGAAGCAAGAATTTAATAAACAATGGGAATAAGATTATCTTTTCATTTAGAGAGGTCCAGAGAAAACCTGCATAATTAGTGTCTTCAAGTATTATTCATTATGATGGAATTAAATGTGAAATGACATTCTATTATTCACCACCTACAAAAACACATCAAATTTGAAGGTGAATCCCATTCAGTTTTAATTACTGACCTGAAATTAAAGATGTAGAAGCAACAGGAGTTTATGAAAAAAGCTTAAATAAGCCAACTGTCTGTGCATCATACTTGGTGAACTAAAACACTGTAAAAGTAAAGAAAACCACCTGGAGAGGGGTAGTTTATGAAATTCTTTGTTACTAAAATGTGCAAAGCTTTTGAAGATGAGAAAGATGCTAATAATTTTGAAACCGTTCTGCTTTCTCTTCACACGGTGATGAGATGAATTGCAGATGTTGTGAACAAAGAGAGAATATAAAGAAAATATTGAACAATCATGTCTACTCCTAATCAGCTTAAGATAAGAGCACAGACATTAATTATGTCAGTCAACTACTGATGTATGTTTGCATCATCAATGATAAGTTTGAGATAAATGAAGAGCTACTGTGATTTTAATGCATTGTGTTACCAGAGTGTTAGCACTTTTAATGCTGTTCAACATGCAGTGAATGAACTTGGTCGTTTAGGAAAAGTTTATTCATAAGTTAAATATGGTGCAATTGCTATGTGCAACAAGCACAATGGACACACTACTTTACTGAAGCATAGTGGAGTTGTCTGTGCAATAATTCACTATATATTGCAGCAAGATCCCTCATAAGGAAAGATCCTGGGATTCAGCCATGTAATGAATGCAATAGTCAAAGTGACAAATATGATAAAATCAAGAAACAGAGTTTTGACTCATACAAATTTATCTTTTACTTATCCAAGCTTGAAAGCAAATATAAGGATATTCTCCTTCATTCAGAAATATGCTGTTTAAGCAGCAATTGTTTTCCATTTTATTGGTCAAATTAATAAAATCTTATACAAGCTATTTTCATGAAAAACTAATGTATCAGAATTATCAAGCAAGAATGACAAGACAGTTGATTTTAGCAAATATGTCAATGACATCTACTGACAACTTTGAGTTTAATGAATATTTCTCAGAAAGGAATTTCAATTCTTCATCAATTCATTCATTGCCAAGGACCATCAGCATCCAGCTACTTTACAATTTGAGGTCTATGACTTGCAAGCAGATGATTATATTTTATGCAAAATATTCTGAAGCAAGCAGTACTGATTTCTGGAAAATTATTCCCAAGTCAAAATTTTTAGAACTCAAAAAGTGATCTCTCAAGTAAGTATATACCTTTTTGAATGCCCATTCTTAACAATGAAGCACCTTGAGCCAACAAAAGGAATTTGCTTATAGAATTTGCTTATTTTCAGTAATTAATCTCTGTACGGGGTTTTGGCAGATTTGACCGAACTTGCAACCACCATAAAAAAAAAGGAAATAAATAGAAATTATGCCACTTTCATTTTAAAATCAACATAAATTATAACATGAAAACATAAATATTTAAACTAAATAGCTTTAATCTCATAACATTATACATTTATATATATATATTATTAATTTTATTATATTGACCTTTCAGCCGTGCCTAGCTAACAATACAGAAGTTACAATGACACGGCTCACATGCACTAATGTTACGGTATCAAATAACATAAAACTGACCTTTGGTCTATACAAAGTAACTTGTCTTGGCTGTGTTTTAGTAGACTAGTATTTTGTAAAATACATTTACATTTTAATTATTATACATTATATATGTATATAGATTATTGCTATTTTGAAATAAGCTCCAAAATTTATTTTTCTTAAAACATAGAACATTAAATAAAGAAGTAAAGCAAACAATTATCTCTTCTAGTTACAACCTTTGTACTCGGTTGCTGCTTGACATAGGTTGCTAAGCCTTTAAAAATGTGCACATGGAGAATATGAAACAAAATAACTTTTTTTAGGTTTTATATATACATT